ATTTTATTTTTTTAACATAATGCACACTAATACAAAGGTAGATAAAATGGGTAAAGTGCCTGCTATTTGGATCTTGCAATATGGTGGTGCAGACAGGGTACAATGGATTAAATGTGTTTGATGTAATGCCCTCAAGGATACATCACTTGCAGGATGTAATTCAGTGGAAAAGGTTAGAAATGTCGTGGTGTGTGCAGGGTGTTACAGAACATGGTCTTGGGAGGCCTATGCATGTTGGACAAAGACCAGACAAGGACTATCATGTGCCCTTTGGATTTGTTAGAAAAGAGATAAAAACTGAGTGTCCAAGAATAACAGAGAAAAGTTGCCACATGAGAAGAGTGGGAAAAAGTCTTGCCCCATCTCCTGTCAGACCACATAAAAGCCAAAACATTTCTCCTCATATTTCGTATACTCGAGCTCAAATTTTGTTGCTCTTCGTGAACGCCTTTTTTTTAGATTTTTGATTTATTCCTTTGCTCTTTTTTTCTTTATATGAATGCGCAAACTGACATATCTTGGCACTATTTTTTTTCTGAACACCCTATCAAAAAGTAAAAAAGATACCAACAGTCCGTATCGACTTCCTCCCCTATCTCTTTTTCTTCATAGTACCCATCACCATCTTACTGTTTCACAATTATCACTTTATCTACTTATATTTATTTTATTTGCTTGTGTTATCAGTTATGACTCTGTCATTAGATTTTATGGACTTTTGTTTCTTAGCACTGATCAATCACTGCCTCGATAGAGAATGAAATGTGATTGTCAATCAATTTATAATCCTCAAATCTGTGAAAGAGTTTCTCATTAAAATTTTATACTGCATGATCTTTTGGGAAAAGGGTGACAATGGGACAGGGATTTCTATTCAGAGGTAGCACAGGGGATCCACTAAAGAAATCATATTAATACACCAAATACAGGAATTAGTGTCTGGACAGGTTGGTAAGGCATGTTTGGGTCATGATGTCGTTCTCTTTTTTTCATAGACACATCAACCATATGGAACTGGGGAATGAGACACGAATATCAGAATTTCTTCTTCTGGGACTTTCAGAGGAACCCGGACTGCAACCCATTCTCTTTGGGCTGTTCCTGTCTATGTACCTGGTCACAGTGCTTGGGAACCTGCTCATCATCCTGGTCATCATCTCAGACTCCCAACTCCACACGCCCATGTATTTCTTCCTCTCCAATCTTTCCTTTCTGGACATCTGTGTGCCCTCCACCACTGTCCTAAAGATGCTAGTGAATATACAGACGCAGAGCAAAGTCATAACATATGAAGGCTGCATCACCCAGGTATACTTTTATTTACTCTTTGGAATTTTGGACACCTTACTCCTGACCGTGATGGCCTATGACCGGTTTGTGGCCATCTGTTACCCCCTCCAATACACAGTCATCATGAATGTCCGCCTCTGTGGACTCCTGGTTCTTGTGTCCTGGATCATGAGTGCCCTGAACTCCTTGTTCCATAGTTTAATGGTTGTGCAGCTGTCCTTCTGTACAGACTTGGAAATTCCCCACTTCTTCTGTGAACTTAATCAGGTTGTCCACCTTGCCTGTTCTGACACCTTTTCTAATAACATGGGGATTTATGTTGCAGCAGGGCTGTGGTTTTGTGGACCCCTTATTGGGATCCTTTACTCTTACTCTAAAATAGTTTCTTCCATATGTGCAATCTCATCAGGTCCAGGAAACTATAAAGCATTTTCCACCTGTGCATCTCACCTCTCAGTAGTCTCCTTATTTTATTGTACGATCATAGGTGTGTACCTTAGTTCTGCTGCTACACAGGACTCACACTCAAGTGCAACAGCCTCAGTGATGTACACTGTGGTCACACCCATGCTGAACCCCTTCATCTACAGCCTGAGAAATAAAGACATACATGGGGCCCTGAAAAGACTCTTCAGAAGGAAGCCATAAAAGAGCTGTTTTTCAAGAATTGTCTGTGATTACAGGGCTCTAAGCTTCAGAAGCAGACATTAAAATTCATTGATCAGTTCATGGAAGTATGACTTGCCATTTATTTCCTTCTATTTTAATTTCATTATTTTCAACTGCTTTATAGACTTTACATAACTCTCTTTAGTAACGTTCTGCTCTCTCTGATATCTGATATTTTTCCCCTTTGTCTTTTTCTTCTTTCACAAAGTTATTCCCCACTTTGCATCAGAAACATTTTGGAGATATCTGTTCATTTCATATGGTGATGAGTTGTACGAGTTTTACAGAATAAACTACACTTGGCAACTGAGGCTTTTTATATATTTTTTTATAAAAGAAATTATAGACCATAGGTTTTCAGTTTCATGTCTATCATTTCTTTCTATATGACTACCTTAACTGGTCTTCTTTATAATGTAGACCTTAACATACCAGTAGTTTCACAGTTGATAATTCGATTTTATTCTGGTCATTATGATACTGTTCTCTCTTTATTTTCCCCCCTCAGCAACTATTTTAAAAATATTTTTACTTTTATAAACAATTTATTTTAATTGACAAATTTTAATTACCCATATTTACCTTATATACAATCTCGTGTTTTGATACATATATATGTTGTATCATAATCAATTAAGAGTAGTTAACAATGATTCTTTTTATTTATTTCTTTATCTATTTATTTATTATAATTTATCAATATACAATGTAGTTGATTTTTTTTATGGAAAGGAGGAAGGAGGATTCTATTCTCCTATACAGCAAAGTGTTCACAGTGTTTACAGCCACATTCCCTGGCACAGAATAGTAATGAAATTTTGCCTATCAAACGTATGTTAAAAATTTAATCTACACAGAAAGAAAAATTAGCATAAAACTATCAGCAATATGTTCAATTCAGAGATGACCTTATATATGTACAATTTCCAATCGTTCATTGAATTTGAAATCACACATTTTCTATGGAATATTTGTTTTTGATGATGTGCATCTACTCATGGAAATGTGGAAATTTTGTTTCCAATTGTAAATGGGTTTATCCAGTCGACTGAGGATTTGGTTTCATGTTCTGTATTATTCACTGCATCATGTTTCTCTATCTTTTTCTCGTTCGTTTGTTTGTTTCCAGGTTTATTAACATTTAACTGATAGCGAAAAACTGAGTATAAGTAATATGCACAACGTGGTGTGTTTAAACCTGTGTACACATTGATGTTACCATCACCACAATCAAGGTAATAAACATCCACCACGTCCAACAGTTCTCTGGTGTCTCTCTGTGTCTTTTTAAATGACAGGTAATATTGTATGAGTTTATCTAGTACAACATCATGTTTTGAAGTATATATACAT